AAATAAAGTGCCTACTGGTACTTTTCCAGATCAACACAGCCTGTGCTTCCTGCCAGACCTTCTAGACAAACTGTCTTCTGTTAAATCTAGTCAAAAGGGTCCCCTCCCTTGTCTTGAATTGGCCAGTCTGTTTGCCAGCCCACAGCTCCAGGCAGGCCTGGAGGCCAGGCATTGCCCTTCTCCATTAGGCCGAGAAGAAGCAATAGCAGGCAGATTTGCCTTGCCATGGTCCCTGGTCCTCAATTTCTTGGGTACATGCTAGAGTAAAGCCCTGGAATCCTAGGAAATGAGAAATGTTTGGTCTGTATAAATTCGACCTGAGCTAGAACTATGGCCTTAGCTTAAATCATATCAGCCCCAAGCAAACACTGGCATGTTTGCCTTGGGCCTTGCACAGGGCTTGGACCCTTGGGATGACTGCCAATCAGGTGGGAAGGCAGGCAACAACCTAAATACAGATCGATCCTCTGCTTCTTGGCAGCTGTTAGGTAGCTGAGGCTTGCAATGTGAGTTTGTGGTGTCAAGGGTTTACACCTCAGTGGAGGAGACAAACCTTACCAGACTTACCAAATCTTCCAGGAACCTCAGGCTGAGGGTGTAAGCAGAAGACACTATGTAGAGTGAAGGGCAGACTTTGTGTCCCAAAGGGCTCATTTTCAGCCTGGTCATTAACTTTCTTCAGGTTCATACCATATGGGTACAGAGGGGGTCTTGGGGGTGGCCTGAGCCTTACTCTTGGCCCTGGCTCCCACTGACTGTAAGTGCCAAGTGAGCCTGGGCCTGGGGTTCAAAGGGTGAGTCACTGGGGGCCTTATGCTGAGCCCTAGTGTTGGCTGTGCCATTCCCAGGGAGGGAGAATGTTTTAATTCTCAGACCTAAAGGCAATAGCTGGACCTTAACTATACAACCCCCATGCAACCTAGAGGACCTGTTCATCTCTCTTTCTACTTTGGTATGGGTTTCAGGGGGAACAAGTTAGACCCCAAAAGACTGGTTCAGCATTAGCCAGCCAGGCTTCTTGTCTCCTAAGGCCTGAAAATACATGGGGTTTTAGGAACTCCAACTCTAGATCAAAAAGAAGAAAGACACCAATGTGGCCCAGAACTCAGTGATACTCTGGTGTTGGTGTTGGTGTGTGTGTGGGGGGGAATGTCAAGGTGGGAGGGCTGAGGAGAAGCATAAGAGCTAGGTGATGCCCTAGCATTTTCACCTAAGCCTCAAACTTGGGAAGGCAGATACTGGAAAGGCTTTGGATGTCATGATTTTAGGCAACCTCTGGCTTAGTTTCTCTGATTCCAGGACTGAGAAGGGCCTGCCTCATCCTTGGGTGGTGGCTAGTTAAATTGGAGTCCTAGCCAGGTGTGGTGGTGCACTTGGGAGGATGATTGTGAGTTCCAGACCAGCCTGGTTACAATGTAAGCTCAAGGCCAGCCTGAACTGCATAGCTAGTGGAACTCTGTCTCAAAAAAGAAAAAAAAAGTTGGAATCCTTCCTCTGACTATATTTCTGGTGGTGGTGCTTGGACTTTGGAGGACAGAATGAAGCTTAGGGGGCTGGGGATTTAGCTCAGTGGCATAAGCACCTGCCTTGCAAGCAGGCAGTCGTGAGTACGATCCCCGGTACCGGTAAAAAGGAAAAAGACAAAAAAAAAAAAAAAAAAAAAAAACAAAAAAAACCAGAATGAGGCTTAGTGTCTCATTTAACAAGATCAATACCAAAGTCTGACCCTGTGGTACACATCTGTGATCCCAGCATTCAGGAGGCTGAGGCAGGAGGATCATTATGAGTTTGAGGCCAGTCTGGCCTACATAATGAGTTCAAAGCCAGCCTGAAGTATCTAGTAAGACCCTGTGTCAAAAAACAAACAAAACCAAAAAAAGAAAGTAAAGATTAATACAAAAAAACCCCCCAAAAAACAACAAAAAAAACCCCCAAATAAATCACAAAAAACTAAAATAACAAATGAATAATAAACCCAAAAGGGAGTTACTTTGTGAATGTTTAGTGTGGCTTAAAGAGTGGCTTTGCTTCTTTGCAAATAGCAGGACCTGAGAGCTGTACTCACTTCTGCCTTCATTTTGGAAAAACAAACAGATCTAACAGCTGGACACTGAAATACCTCAGAACCAAGGGCTGCAAAGCAGTGCCTGGTGTCTTTAGGCATGGGTGTCAGACTTTCTGAGCCAAATGGGTGAATGAGAGAATAGATATTATTTGGAAGTCCAAGTAACATTTTGTGTTCTTAGCCTTTTAAAGCAGCAGAAAGGTCAGACAATGGTGGTACATTTCTGAAATTGCAGTACTCTGGGAGGCTGAGGCAGGAGGATTTCAAATTCAAGCCTGGTCAAGTAGTGAGACCTTGTCTCAAAAAATAAGACAGGGGCCAAGGATGTAGCTCAACTCCAGTATCAATAAAAACAAAAAACAAAACCAAAAGCCTCTCTTCCTCTCCCTCTCTCTCCCTCTCTTCTTTTTTAAATTTTTTTTTTCTTGAGACAGAGTCTCATTATGTAATTCAGACTGGTCTTGAATGCACTATGTAGGCCAGGCTAGTCTCAAACTCTCGGTGGTCCTCCTTCCTCAGCCTCATGAGTGCTGGGATTACAGGTGTGCATTACCACGCTTGGCTTCCTTGGTTTTTTTGCAACCAAAAAACAATTTTTTAATTTAATTTCATCTAAATTCAAGTTTAAATCCTTGACAAAAAATTATAAAGTCTCAACTTTATCAACTAGTTCCTATAAAGTGACCTATATAAACATTTTTTAACTACCAAAAATTTATCTTACCAAACAAACAACAACAAAAGAAAAACCACAAAGATTTTGATAGGCAGACACAAGTGCCTGCCAGGCAAGCACAAGGTCCCAAGTTCAATTCCCAGTACCAGGAAAAAAAAAAAAAAAAAAAAGAGATCTGTTCCCTGGGTCATCTCTCCAGGACAAGGGAAATTATTCACAAAGGTAATTTCTTTTCTTTCTTTTTTTTTGTACCAGGAATCAAATTCAGGACCTTGTGCTTGTCAGGCAGGCACTGTGCTGCTGAGCTATATTTCCAGTCCTGGTAATTTGTTTTCTTTTCTTTTCTTAAATATAGTTTTAAAAAAAATTTTTTTTTTTGTCTTTCTTGTTTTTATCGGTACCAGGGATCAAATTCACGACCGCACACTTGCAAGGCAGGTGCTTATGCCGCTGAGCTAAATCCCCAGCCCCTCTTAAAAATAGTTTTAACAACATTGTAGAACAAGTAGAAAGTAACATGCAATGCTGAGCAATGCACTACTTTCCCAAGAATATTCAAAGTGCACAGCTCAAGCAGCAGCACCCTCCTTGCACACAGCCATGCTGGGGGCTTCCCCTATAGGACAGACAGTCTCTGTTACTTGCACTCTGTTTTGAGATGAGGTCTTGTTATATTGTCCAGGCTGCCCTTAAACTCCTGAGCACAAGCAATTGTGCCTCAGCTTCCTGTGTAACTGGAACTACAGGTACATAACACCTAGTCCGTTTTCAAAATTCACACTTTTAAAGGTTAATGTTCATCATGCAGGGCATGAACAAGGTGACACATATTCATAAATTATAAAACCTTACATCAGCTGACTAACCATCATTCTGGAGGCCTTAAAGGCCCTTTTTCCTTGGTTCAATTCTGAATCAACACCAGAAAGAAGGAAAATGCATGCTACTTTTAGCTGCCATACAGAATGATTCTCCAATCTGATTTCAGGGACTGACAAAGAACCACTGAGGCAGTGGCATGAGGTTCGCTGCTGTGTAACACTCCCCGTTTTCTGAGGGTCTCACTAGGTAGTCCAGGCTGGACTTGAACTCACTTTGTCGTTCAGCTGCCTCAAACTCCCTATGATCCCCCTTCCTCAGCCTCCCCTGTGCCGGGATTACAGAGGTGCACCATCATGCCTGGCTTGGTTTAGTCTTTGTAAATGGGTTTGGAGAGCATTCACTTAAGTGCAGAGAGTTGCAAACAGGTATGTGTGTTTGGTAACTGGAGTCTTCTTTTCAGTTGTCTAAAATTTGCTTCTCCTCTGTAGTTTCTATTCCCAGAACCATCCAACTGTCATGTTCAGTAATAGTTACGTCCGGGTCCAGTGGGATTGAGGACCCAGATAAACCCTTAGGGCAGTTACCTTAGGACCCTTCCCTTTAAATGAGAACAAACTCTAGCAGCAACCCTCCTTATTTCAGCCCCCACCCAAAGAATGCAAGCCACAAGGAGTGAGAGGCTCAGAGTTATTTCAGGAACAGGCCTGAGCAGGCTTCGGATTCTAAAGTTCCGGGCGGGGGAGGGGATGAGAGTTAGGGCTGCTCTAGCCTAGGATCACCAGCTCACTATAGCCAGTTCACTATAGCCGTTGGCCTTTGCCTCAGTTTCCCTGTAAGGGATGGATAGGAAGGCCTTTATCCTACGCAATTTGGTAAGCTTCTTGATTTTCGTTTAAGGTGATTTTCGACGATGACCAGTTATGGCTGGGTGGGTTGGTGAGCCTGACCGTTTCGGATTATTATTATTACTGAGGAAGATCGGATCCAGGGCCGTGCGGGTGCTGGATAAATGTTCTACAACTGAGCTACCTCCCCAGCTCCCGAGGCTATTCTTTAATGTCCAAAGGCCTCAGGCTGCGTGGAGCGCCACTCCCTACTCGTGCCCCAGACGGCTTCTGGTCAGCGGAACTGGCCCGGGCGTGTCGCCCGCCGGACCGAAGCAGGCCCCAGAGGCGTGGCTTCCACGATAGGCGTGGCCTTCCGGGGGCAAGAAGGGCCAATGAGGAATGCGGTGCAGACGGGGGCGGGGCCTGAGCGCGGGTGCGGCGCGCTGCGGAGCGGCAGACGCAGGCAGGAGCGGGCGGCGCGTGGACGACCGGTCGGCGCCGCGCGAAGCTGGCTACAGGATTGGCTGTGGCACTCGCGTGTCAGGCGGTTGCTAGGCTCCGGCCGCGCGCCCCGCCCTCGCGCTCGGCGCCCTCTCACCACCCGGTACGTGCTCGCGCGGAGGCTGCGGCGCGCCGCTCGCGCTCCTAGGTTTCGGGGGCGGCATTGGCGGCAGCTCTGCGCTGATTCCCCGGGGGAGCAGCGGCGTCGGCGTCCTGGGGCCGGCAAGAGTGAACACCTGTCGCGGCTCGCCCGCCGCGCTTGGTGAGTGGCCACTCGCCCTCGCCGCTGTGCCTGGTTGCTTGGGCCCCGGTCCCTGGCGCTGCTGGTCCAGCCATTTGCAGAACACCTGCTGCTAGCTTTCGGCCCGCGGCGGGGACGCGACTGCGGACGTCCTTGCGGGTGAGGAGGCAGGGACGCCTGGCGAAGCCGCCCCCTGCTGTGGGTCCCGCGGGCTGAGGTTCCGAACTCTCGGCGGCAAGGCCCGGACTTCGTGCAGCGGTGGTGGGCCCGGCTTTAGCCTAGCCCGCGCTCCCGCCGCGGGCGGGTGCGGCCTTCGGGCTGCCTCCAGGCTTCCAAGGGGGTTGCGGCCCAGTCGGGCTGGATCTCCATTCCGGAGCGTCGAGCCCCTGCCGGGGCAGAGAAGGGTGCCGCCCCCGCCTTTGGCTCCGAGCTGTTTTTTGTTTTGGGGGTCTCTGCTCCTTGTACAGCTTCTTTGGAAGCCTGTTTAACTGTACCACCTTTTTACTTGGTATTTGGAAGACTAGGTTCACTTGCGAGTATGTTTGGAAAATGTCCTCAGAGGAAACACTGTCTGGACTCAATCTTTTTACTGTAAATTGCCGGTTAATTTTTGCAAACTCAATGATGGTTTAAAATACAACTTTTAATCTCTACAACTTGTGAAGTGCTTAGATTTGTAAATTGAGTTACTTTAGAATGAGTTTTAATAGTGATGATGGAAAAGTTTTGACTGTCTAGCAAGCGTCTGGGACAGTACCATTATATCTTAGAGTTCTGACTTAAGAGTTCTGCCTGCTGTTTCCCTAAATAAGCTAGCAAAAGTAGTTCCTGGCACGGAAGCCAGGCTCCGTGAAGTGAAGGTGGTGTTTATTGCATATAAGTTTAGATAAAGAGTTGAATGTGCTTCCAGGTGTTTTGTAAAGTGGAATAGATGGGATATTGTAATTTTACCAGGTTGTGCAATGTTTAGTGTTCAGAGACAAGATAATTTTGGAATGTTCTTGATCTAAAAAAGAATTTGACCTTAACACATTTTGGAGGCATAAAAATTCATAGTTTGAATATGAAGACTTGAACTTTTTTGGGGGGCGGGGGCTTGAAGCTCATGGGCTGTGCTTAAAGGAGGTTGAGTAGCTGTTTGTTGGAGAAACTAGATTTCAGTAGGGAGTTAGATACATAATGTGAGCCTATTCAAGGCCTGTGGTATACTGTGTAAAGTAAGAGTTAGGGGCTGGGAATTTAGCTCAGCGGCATAAGCACCTGCCTTGTAAGCAGGCGGTCGTGAGTTCGATCCCCAATACCGGAAAAAAGAAAAAAAAAAAAAAAAAAGAGTTAAGCACTGCTATATAGATAACAAACATCTATTTTTAACATGAAAGTCTCTGTTGATATATGCTTCTGTTGAAAGAGGCAGAGGGCAAGTTTTTGCTGTTCAAAAAACTGATTTGGCCAAATGCACTTTTTATTTAGCAAATATTTAGCTTCACTGCCTGTCAAATTCTGTAGATCTGTATAAAATGGTTTGGTTTTGATCTTAAGTAATTGATTTGGAGGGGAGGCAGTGGGAACCAGAGATCCTATGATTAATAATTACTGTGTAGTACACAAAATGTGCTTATGTGATATCTCAGAGAGAGAGATTTTCTGAATTAGGACCTTCAAGACCAGCAGGAATTAGCCAGGAGACATCAAGGCCTGGACATGGGCACATGTACATGATCACCGAAAATAGTGCCTGGGAGACCTCCAGTTTGACAGGTGGGAGCTCTGGGCCTTCCTTGTGTTCAGGAGTTCCAAATTCAGGCTCGAGGTACTGGAGCCTGAGAATGCTTTTAATCAGCACAGTGGTACAGTCCAGATCTGTGTTTAGAAAGATATTGTCAGGCCACTTAGGGAGTGGCAGGAGAGGAGGAGGTCAGGACCTTTGTAGTCTTCCAAAGGAGAGATGACCAGGAGGGAGGAGAAGTCCTCTGAGAAGAGAGACTGCAAAGGTAGTGGAAAGGGAGGAGCTTGCATTCAGGAATGTGTGAGTGGGAAACCTAAGCCTGATAGGGTTTAACCACTTTTTCTATTTTCTAACCTTTTGGGGTTCGAGGTCATTGGTAAAGTGCTGGCCTAAATGTGCATGGCCTTGTATTCCATTCCACTAAACACCCCCCAAAACAACCAAAATCCAGCCTCCACTTGTGGTGTGACTCACAAATCTGCTGATGTATGTTAGGCATGGAAAACGGTGGGGTTGGGAGGGACCCTGGTGCCTAATTAGACTGGAGTCTATGTCTAGCAAAGGAGACCTGATATTTGATTGTTGACAACTTATCTTCTACTTCAGCCTGAAGCATTGTGTTTCCTTTTGAACATAAGTATCTCAACCTCAGAGTAGATACTAGCTTGCCCTTGATGAGGTGGATAGGTGTGCTTTTAGTTCTTTACCTTACAGTTGTTGCAGCCCCTCCTGCTCCTGTTCCCACTCCCTAGGTCAGTGAGGTGATGAACCTCCACTAGTTGCCCTTGAGGGCCTTTTGTTTGTGCTCTGAACTATTCTAATGTGCAGGGGAGACCTTTCTACTGGCTAAGGAAGCTGAGTAACATGAGTGTACTCAAGGTTATGCAGTGATCATGGGGCAGAGCCAGGTTTTGAATCCAGGTTGAACATTTTTTGTGGGGAAGGGACTGAGGATGAAACCCTGTACCTTCACACTGAGTTATATCCCTGGTTCTTTTTCTGTTTTTATTTTGAGACAGGGTCCTGATAAGGCACTGAGTTGCCCAGGCTAGGTTCAAACTTGTATTCCTCCTGTCTCAGCCTCCTGAGTGCTGGGATTACAGGTGTGTGCCAGCTAAGGTTAAAGATTTGGCTGTTTATATCCATCTGCATTTGTGTTCCTTTAGACTGAAAATGGTAGCCTCAGCTGGGTCTTCCGAAGTCCAGGTGTCTGGTGATAGGTATAAAACAGGATGATACAAAGAGGTGGTAGGGGGTCCAGCAAAGATCTTGGGGTAACGTGTGAGGGACCATTCTCAAAAACCAGAGCTTATCAGAACTTTTCTGGACCCCATACCGGGGACCATGTTGAAGCAGGCCAAGGCTCCTGGGTTTGAGGACACAGTAGAAGGGCAAACTTTAGGGGAAGACTGCATTTGAACTGGACCTTCCAGAAGAGTTAGCAGTTTGACTGGTGAGACAGTGCTGTCAAGGAGGTGACCACTGGTAGCAGAAGAGGTATGCAGCGGCAAAGGGTGAGAGGGGGAAGACTAGGAATCTTTGTTGGGTGTTCTGGGGAGCTGAACTGGGGCCAGAATTCCACATTGAGGAGCATAGAGTTGTGCAGGAATAGGAGGCCATCAGAGGTTTTGAGGAATAGCTGGAAGGGTATCACCTCTTGACTTCAAGAATTGAGCCTTATGGGTATGGGGAAAGCATTGCACTGTAAGTTCGTGAATCACTGATGGTGAGACTCCTGTGAGGACACAGTAGACTTGAAAGACTGATAAGCAATGAGGTGGAGCTGCCTTTGGAGGCAAACAAGTTCTGCAGATGTTAGGGGCCTTCTGTCAAGTGGCAGGGACAGGAGCTGACAAAAAAGAGGAAGATACGATAGCATTGGTCAAGTGTTGGTGAGAATTTGAGAGACTAGAATAAATGAGTTAAGTCTTTGGGTCACAAGAGGAGAGGAAGACTTGAGTCAGGACTGTCCTGTGTCAGGGGAAGGGAGAGGGAGTGTCATGCAGGGGGCTAAACCTAAGACCTCATGCATTCTGAGCAAAGCCTCTGCCGCTGACCACTGCTCCACTGCTGCCTGTGCTTCCTCTCCTCTCCTGTCCTCCTCTTTTTTCTCCTTCTTCTTTTCCTTTTCTCTTCCTTATTCTTCTCTTCCCCCTCCCTCCTCCTCTTTTCCCTCCCGCTCTTTCTTCTCCATCTCTTCCTTCCTCTTCTTTTCTCTTCCTCCATCTTTTTATCAACCCCTACCCCTCTCCATTTGAGCCCGTGCAATGAGCTACATTCTTAGTTCCCAGCTCTTATTTTGAGACAAGGTCTCAGTAAGACACTGAGTTGCCCAGGCTGACGTGCCTCAGCCTTCCAAAATGCTGGGAGTATAGGTATGTGCTACTCTACCTGGTTCCTGTACCCTTCTTGACGAAAGATACGCAACTTAGTAGAATGACAGGTGGTAACAGGCCCACTTTATGGACGGTTTAAAATAGAGTGAGCCCTTGAATATTTTTTCCAACCCTGGTTAGGAAATTAGTATTGAGTCAACATTCAGGTATGGTGTTTTTGTTTTTTGTGGTTTTTTTTGTCTTTTTGAAGCAGAGTTTCACTATGCAGATTAGGCTGGCCTTGAACCCACTTTGTAGTCCAGGCTGGTCTCAAAACTCACAGCAGCAATCCTTCTGCCTCAGCCTCCCAAGTGCTGGGATTACTGGTGTGGGCTGTCATACCTCGCCCCATCCAGGTTGTTTTTCAGATGTGCTATTTAGGTTCGAACAGTTGCAGGGTATGATTGCTTGTGGGCTAGAGAATTCCAGAATATCAGAAAGTAAGGAATTCAAATGTGAAAATCAAAGTGGACCCAGGTGGGAACTTAAGAGAGAACATTGAACCTGAATTTGAAGTGGGAATTAGTTCAGGTGTTCTGCAGTGTATTGATCAAGGCCTTTCCCCTCTTCCTGCAGTTTTCTCCACCTTCCTGTGAAGCAGATGCTTGTTTGCCAGTTGCAGAGATGTTCTTTTTTTTTTTTTTTTTTTACTGGTACCAGGGATCGAACTCACGACCATCTGCTTACAAGGCAGGTGCTTATGCCTCTGAGCTAAATCCCCAGCCCCCATGCAGAGATGTTCTTTAAGTCCTTTTCCTTTGGCTTTCCTGCGTTGACCCTGTAGGCCTAGAGTAAAGAGATGATGGTTTTCAGTAAGGCAGCAATTAATGTCACTATCTCCTGAGAGGTCTTTATGTGTCCATCCTTTGGGTTTGGAGGCAGTTTTACTTAAGTCATAGAACTTGTTTTGCCTCGTGACTGTCTCCCTTCACTTCACTCTGATCATTAGTCAGTAATACTGCTCAGATAGCAGTTCCTATAAATAGGGATTTAGAGTAGTTCACAAAATTACACCAGCCAGAGGGCTTAATTTAGTCTTAATGAAAAGGGTTTCCTAT